CCCCCCCCCCGGCCCCAGCCGCAGCCTCCAAGCGCGCACCACTTTCACTTTCCGCGGCCGGCGAGCTCTTATAGTCCAGGGAGCGCGCCGCGCCGCCTTCCCATTGGCCGCTGGGATCCGGACCGCGCCTCCCATTGGCTGTCCGGCTCTCCAGGTGACAGGACCGAAAAGGCGAGTCCATTGCGCTGTCCGGTTCCGCTGCTTCCCAGGGATTTCTTCCCCAGTTCCCTCCTCTCCTGGCCGAGGCTCTTCTCGCTCCTCCCCGAGCCGTTGTCCTCAGCCGAGAGTGAAAACCTAAGCGGGTCTCTTCTGCCCCAGCCCACCCAAAGTGAGGTCGGGAAGCCTTACCCGATAAAGACGCCGAAGAGAACGACTCCATTTAACTCTCACAGACTCAAAGCACCTATACTGGGTTGGGTAGGTCGGTTACTAACACCCACTTTATACATGATTATTCGGGGTGCCCCGTGTGGAAGAGAAATTGCTGTCAAAACTAGATCTATGGAATCTCAAAAAGCCATGGCAACTAAATGGTACCGACCCTGGGCGGGATTCAGGGCTGGACGTTACTGGAGAAACTGGCAAGAATGCGAACAGGATGGAAACGTTGAATCCATGTTATGTTCACTGGAGTTGAACGTTGCGCTGTGGCCAAGTAAGAGAATACTCTTGGGAAATAGACGATGGATGTAGGTAACTTTCCTTTAAATGATACAGAAACAATGATCGATTGACAATAAATCAATGGTTGACAGATACATCCTGCGTGATAAAGTACATGGGTTAAAATGACAGCAATTGATGGATCTGGGGAAAGTGCCGGTGCTCTTCTGAGTTACTTTTATGCAACATTTGTGTTTATTCTGTTCCAAGGCACCCTCTGTTCCACAGGGAACGTTTCCAAAGGATGGTGTGTTGTCTGTCTGGGAGGGGAGGGGGGGTAGGTTATGGTGGATGAAACAACAGCCAAAAAGAACACCCTACGGATTGAAAAGGTCTTTGGCAAAACTGCTTCCTTCTCTCATCTTTTCTAGCCTCTTTTTATTAAAGCATTTACAAAAGTTTTCTTTCCGCCTTTTGAGCCTCTCCTTTTCTGTCCACTTAGGCCCACTCCTACCTCCTGGGAGTGTACTTTCACTTTTACTTAATAAACTACCTTTTCATTTAAATTTTTTTCTTTTAAAATAGTTACAAATTCACAGGAAGTCATAAAGTCTCCCCAACGATGACATTGTATATAAGTGTAGAACAAAATAAAAAACAAGAAAATATTTGGTATTACCCTTAACTAGACTAGAGACCTCACCTTATTTTTGCCATTTAAAACCTTCCTTCATTTGGGGCTGGCAGGTGGCATGGTGGTTAAGGGTGCTGGACTCCCACAGGGCCGACTGCAGTTTGGATCCTGGACCTGGTGGCTTGCTTTCTCATTTTCTCTCTCTCTCTCATTCTGTCCCTCTCTAGTCAAACCAAAATAAGTAAATAAATAAACAAATAAAGTTAAATAAACAATAATTCTTAAAAAAAAAAAAAACAGAAAAAGAACCCTTCGTTCATTTGTGTGTGTCTGTGCAATTTTATCACATGTGTAGATTCATGTAACCATCACAATAAAGACCTAGTTGTTTCATCCCCACAAAAGAACTCCCTTGTGCTTACCTAAGCCCCTGTTTCCCTTCCTGAGTCTGCACGAACATTGATCTGTTCCCTAACTCTATAGTTTTATCATTCAGAAAATGTTATATAAATTGAATCATATGGCATGTAACCTTTTGGAATTTTTTTCCTTCAAGTACAGAGTCTCTAAAGTTCATGAAAATTGTCACATATAATAATAGTTCATAATTTTTATTGCATAGTAATATATAGATCTACTAGGGGTTTGTTCAACCACTCACTCATTGATGAACACTTGAGGTGCTTACAGTTTTGAGATATTATGAATGAAAGGGCTGTGGACAGTCACAAAATCTCATCTCTCTTGGATCGATGTCCAGGACTACAATTCGTGGGTCTAAAGGCACCTACATGTATAATATTTTAAATTGCTAAGTTATTTTTCATGTGGCTGTACCATTTCGCATTGTCACAAACAATGAGAGTTCCAGTTTCTCCAAACCATTATCCTCAGGGGTGCTATTACTATTTTTATTTTAGCTATCAGTAAGTGTAGTGCTACATTCCTGTGGTCTTAATTTTTAATTTGCATTTCACAAATGGCTTAACAGTGTTGGCATTTTTTTTTTTTTTTTGGAGAGGTTTTTCACTATAGGGCGCATGCGCTCACCAGACAGACAGAGAGACAGAGAGACAGAAAGCGAGAAATCACCCCCCTGGGGGGATGGCCACACTGCAATCCCTTCTCCTCCATTCTCCTCTCAGGATCTTGAGCACACACGCACATGTGCCCGGTGTGAGTTTTAAGCCACCGGGTTCGGGACACATTACGTGGTCAACTACTTGGGAGCCCAGCGACATAGCCATTACGCTAACTGCTGGTCCCGATTGTTCATATATTCTATGCGTAGGCCTTTGTTAGATATGTGGTTTGCAAATATTTTCTACCAGTTTGTAGTTGTGTTTTCACTCCTTTAACAGGATCTTTCACAAAAAGTTCTTAATTTTGATAAAGTCCAATTATTATTTTTTTTTATATAGACTGTGATCTTAGTGTCATGTCTAGGAACTCTCCGCCTAGCTCTAGTACTGAAATGCTCTCCTACGTTATCTTCCAAACGTGTATGCGTACTTTACTCTCAAATCTATAATCAATTCTGAATTAACTTTCAAGTATGGCGTAAGATAAAGGTGACCCCTTCACATTTTTAAAATTTAGAACTGGGTGGCACTTTGAATCAGTGGAGACATGTCAAGTCTGTACTAACTAGTGCCACCATTTGGAAAATATAAAGTTCTGTTTTTACAACAACATAAATCCCAGATGGTGCAAAGATATGAAAAACAAGCAGGCACATTAAAAAAAAAAAGTTTAAGCACACTTACTAAAGTTATTGAGATACCTCTTTTCCACTTATCAGGCTGACAAATGTTTAAAAAATGGGCAATGTCCAGCGTTGGTGAGAGTAAGGAGGTACTGTTGATCTTATACCAAGTGGAGATAATACAAAATAAGTTTCGTATTTCTGGATGGCAACTTGACAATATGTCAAAATGAAAGCGGGGCGTATCCTTTGATGTACTACTTCACGCTTGCAGATTTATCCTAGAAACATACATGACATACTGATGGATACATGTCTTCAATTTGGTCAGAGGTTGGTTTAAGTTGGGAATGTGTTACAGAATGAATACAATGCGCACAAAATAGCTACAAGGTATGTGTGTTCTATGTTATATTGGAGCATTTTAACATAGAGAATACTTCTGGAAAGAGATATGTGAGAGAACTTTTAAAGTCCATGGAAAATGAAATTAAAAGATAAAAATAAAAAATATATAAACTTTATTTCTCAACATAAGCTTCATCGAATTCAAGATGTTTTATCAGCAATTATGCCAGCTATTTAGTCCATCCCTAAAGAAGAAGAGTTCTGGGAACTTAACCATGTCAGCAAAGTCTCTTTTGCATTACTAACTGAAGAAAAATTGGTAACTTTTAAAGATTTTTAAGAAACGGGACCAACAGTTAGTGTAATGGCTGTGTCACTGGACTCCCACGTAGTCAACCATGGTTTGAGTCCTGGACCCAGTGGCTTAAAAAATTCACGCCGGGTGCATGTAGGTGCATGCCCAAGATCCCGAGAGGAAAGGAGAATGGAGGAGAAGGGATTGCGGCATGGCTATCCCCCTTGGGGGATGATTTCTTGCTTTCTGTCTCTCTGTCTCTGTCTGTCTGTCTGATGAGTGCATGCGCCCTATAGCAAAAACCTCTTTTTAAAAAAAAAGGATTTTTAAGAAACAAAAGAAGGGCTAGTGGTTAAGGGAACTGAATTCCAAAACATCCACCATGCCTCAAGCTCCAGTCTTGGCAGCTTGAAAAACATACTGGTGTGTGTGCCCTAAATGCTGACAGGATAGAGAAATGGAGGAGAAGGAATTGAAGCATGGTCACTCTCCATTGGGGAGTGCTTTCTCTCTCTCCTTCTCTTGCTCCCTCTCTCTCTCTTTCCAGTCTCTCTGTCTGTCTCTGGAGAGCACATGTGCCCTCCGGCAATTAGAAAGAAGAGAGAGAAGAAACAAAAAGAAGTCACAGAACCCAAATCAAGACTGTAAAGTAGATGACCAATGATTTCCCGTTGAAACGCACAATATCTGCCTAGCTTGATGAGAAGAACGAGCAGAATCTTGCCATGGTGGAAAATGACTTTCTGGTAAATCTTTTCCGGGTGTTTTTCTGCTAAAGCTGAGGCTGACTATCTCAAAATACTCTCCTAATAAGCAGGTTCTGTTATTCTTTGGCTCTCCAGAAAGTCAACAAGCAGAAGGCCTTGAGCATCCTTCAGAACCGCTGCCTTTGCTCTAGACGGGTCCACCTGTGCTTTGACTGGAGCACGTCCACTCTTGGTAGCCACTGTTTCAATTGTGCTCTGTCTTCAGGGTCATGGTAGAGCCACATGTCATCTCCTTCACGATTTGTTGAGAAAGTGCTTCAGGATCTCGATCTCACCTCTTCGATTAGGGCATAAATAAGATGAATTTTTTCCTCGCGTGTGTAAATGTGAAGAATTGATATGGAAGGTCTGCTGCTGGTGATGTCCTTTTCAACGTTGGATTATCCCTTCTTCAAGTGAGTCATCTCTTTGTAAACTGCTGATTGCTTCAGTGCATTGCTCTCATACATTTTTCATAAAGCATCAATCATTTCCCCATTCCTCCATCCAAGCTGCATCATAGATTTGATGTTTGTTTTCTCTTCCATTTTGGCAGAATTCATGTTGCTCTGATACAGACTCTTTTTAATATTTTTTTGAGAGGTTTTTGCTATAGGGCGCGTGCGCTCCCCAGAAAGACAGAGATAGAGAAACAGAAGGCGAGAAATCCCCCCCCATGGGGGATGGCCATGCCACAATCCCTTCTCCTCCATTCTCCTCTTGGGATCTTGGGCACGCACGCACATGTGCCCGGCATGAGTTTAAGCCACCAGGTCCAGGACTCAAACCACAGTTGACTACATGGGAGTCCAGCGACATAGCCATTACACCAACTGCTGGCTCCTTTTTT